TGGTGTTCAGTGTTTGTCCTCAAATCGCTTAGTTGATTGGTTATGGTTTCTTTGGGCTCCCATTCCTTTTGTTGGGTTCCATTCAGCATTCCCTTTGTGGTCTCCCTGACTTCCTTCAGCTCTTTGTTAATGGATTCCATGAATGCCTTTAGTGATCTTTGTGTGTTCTCTACCTGGTCTCTCAATTCCTGTATTACTCTTTGATTAGCTTCCTCCCGTTCGTGGGATTCCTGCAGATCTCTTTGAGTATTCTCAGCCTGCTCATGCCATTCCTCCCTTTCTCTTTGAGTATTCTCAAGTTGTTCACGCAAATCCTGTATCAGTTTTTGAGTAGCTTCCTCACGCTTATGATATTCCTGTATAAACTTCTGGGATGCCTCCTCTCTCTCCCTGTCACGCTCATACAGAGTCCTTTGTACATTGTCAAACTTTTCATTTATCATGTTTGCCAGCAGTGTTTGTAGAGCTGTTTGGGAACTCTCCTCTGGATTATTCATTATCTGTTCTAACCCCTGATTATCAAGATTGGGAATTGAGATACCCGAATTTGCCATTTTTCTTGTGTTTTTCTGGCTTACTCTGCCCATTTGAGATGAAGATAGCACCAGTTTTGTGCTAGAACACTATCTTAAGGCAACCATCAACCAAAGTTTGCATTTGTACAGTCAATAGTCTACAGATACAATCTAGTTCAACAGATACATCTATTCGACATCAAACAACTACATGTTAAAGGACTTCGAACCGCAGAGAAGAATTTGGAAAACCAGAAATTATTAGGGTTAGGGAGAGATGTGGGTAAAAAATAGGAATAGATTGGTGTGGGGAGGCACAGGGAGAGTTAACTATGTCCTAATCACAGTGCAGGAAATAGGTTGGGTAGGATGCAAGTAGAGAGAGAGAGAGAAAGAAGAAAGGGAAAGGGGAATGAAAAGAGACCAGAAAAAAAAATAGAAACGTAAAAATTAATGTTATTTTAGAGATTAAAAGACCATCTATTTATAGAGGAATATGAATATGTTGAGAGAAAGGGAGGGACATAGAGGAGATGTGGAAAACTTTAAAAAAATGCTTAAAATATTATATAGGTATAAAGAGGTAGTACTGCTATTAATGAATTTAAGTGTCAGAGGTTTTGAATTGAGTAATAAGTTTGTGGGTTAAGTGTGTACACAATGGGGGGTAGGGTCTACTGGTTAACTATGGGTTTATCTGAGGATGTGCAGGACAAGAGTTAAGTCACATAAAGAAGAACAAAGAGGAAAAGATGGAAAGGATAGGAAAGTGAGAAGAAAAGATCAGAAGTTCAGTAGAGCTAGACAAAAAACAAAAAGATAATTAAGAATGAAAGAAAAAGAGAAAGAAGACAAGAAAAGAAAGGAAAACACACATCACGTATTCCTAAAATAAAAATTATAAGAGGAGAAAAGAAAAAAAAAAGTTACTGGAAAACAATTATTTTTTCAGAAGAGGCAAAAATTAAAGATTAATAAAAGTTTTAGAAAAGCAAAAAAAATTTTTTTATATATATAAGGTAACAAAAAACGAAGAAAAAAAAAACAAAACAAAAAAAAAGAAAAAAAGAAAAGAAGAAGAAGAAGAAAAAAAAAAAAAGGTCTTTGATTTTTTTTTTTTGGGGGGGGGGAGGGGTGGGAAGAGTCCTGTATCTCCCTTTTGTCTGTAACCAGAGTGTGGTTGGAGTCTCTGGTCAGCTTGAGGTCCTGTGGCTTGATTGGTTTCTTAAGTCAGTTTGTTGGAACAGGCAGAAAAATGCTCTGCTTTACCCAAGATTTTGAGATCCCCCTCCCAGGTTAGTTTACTGGGAGGGTGATCTGCTTTGAGAATCACAAAAGAGGGGGATGCAATGATGAGGCTAGGTTCTGGGTAGAGTTGAGGCCTTTCTACAAACAGTAGCTTTTCCCTGGGGCTATTTTGTGAAAAAAACTCACAGCACCCAGCCTGGAGCCATTCTCAGGGTTTCTGTTTTTCAATTGATTGTGGAGGCTGCTAGAGGGAGGGGCAGCCTCTGGCTCTGGTTACCCAGTGAGGAGAGCCACTCCAATGGCTGGCGCCTGAGCTGGGTGACTTTTCCCTGGATGGAACTGAGTCTGTGAGGTCACTTCACCGTTAAGTTCTTGTGACCTGCTAAATGACTTGTTTTATTCCAAGGCCTGAGCTGGAGCTAGCTGCTCCTCCGAGCTTTGTCGGTATCCAAGATGGAGATCACCGGTGCTGGGGGGGGAGGGGTGGCCTTCCCTCCTCTGCTCCCGGAGAAGGAGTGAGGAAGTCGGGCTTCTACTCACGCCGAGTCTTGGATCCTGGGTCGTCTCTGGTCTGCAAAGTGCAGGATGAAGTTGTCCGCTCCTTGTCGGTTCTTGCTGGTGTTGAGTAGAATCCGCTCGTCCGCTGCGTCTGGCTCCTTCGTCCCGGACTGTGTCTCAGGTGTGCCCCCGCGGCGGTGGTCGCTGCCGCAACCCTGCCGCCGCAGCGGCAGCTGCTCAGATGTGTCTGCTTGGCTTCCCCTCTCTTGACTAACTCTCTGTCCTGTGATGGCACACTTGGTGTGATTCTCTGGCTTGGGACTGTTCACTGGAACTCTGAAACTGTTTTCTATGCAAGAGCTTGTTCAGATTCCAGCTTCTCCTCCGCCATCTTCCCGGAACTATCCAGAGGTGTTATAATTGTTAGCTCTTGAAGTTTTTAGGTTATCTTATAAAATTTTCATGTGTAGTCAGGAAATATTACTTGCAACAAGAATAATTGAAAAATCTTTCTGTTTATAGTTTCTTAGGTATAGAATGATGTTTTTATTTTCATTTTAAAACAATATATGAGTATTACAGAAACTTGAAAATGGAGGGGAAAATAGTCATCAGATTATCAATTTTTTCAGTTTCATAAAATTGCTTTTAAAACTTAGCTTTTAAAATCACTTTTAAAACATGGGCTACTTGGTGCCATGCCACATGTGTCTCCGTGATCATGTCCTGTCTCTTGTCTCCGGTCATCATGGTGTCCCAATTCAGCTCTCCATGGGAGCTGAATTGATTTGTTGATAGTTTTTTTGTTCTTTCTTCCCTCTCTTGTCTGTTTCCTAACCATGTTATGTATATTTGGAGGCTGCAGGCCTTTGTAACAATGGGCGGCCTGCAGCTGGCTAACTGTATAATAAAGATTCCAGTAGTTCATCTTCAAAAAAAAAAAAAAACCAACCTGGAATGTTTGCAGACAAATGATATGTTAGCAGGCATTTGCTTCAAAATATTTTGAAATGACTAGAAAATTTCAGCATCTAATATTTGTTTTATCTTAATAATTATTTCATTTAAAAAATTAAGAGCAAAGTTCTTTTTCTTTTGAATGCTCTTTTCAGCTACCTTTAGTTATCGCATATTGTTAATGAGTTAGTAGTGTATTTGTTCACCTAATATTTGAATCACTGAACTATACAATACATATGGAGTAAGCAACTCTCTGTTATAGGATCTGGACTCACAGGAGCTGTGTTTTTGCTGGGTAACAGTTAATAGACAAATATAGAATTCTGTAATTTGATTTTCTTATTGTGAATTAAAACAGCTATCTCTGGGGCTGGGAATGTGGCTTAGTGGTAGAGTGCTTGCCTGGCATGCACAAAGCCCTGGGTTTGATTCTTCAGTACCACATAAACAGAAAAAGCCAGAAGTGTTGCTATGACTCAAGTGGTAGAGTGTTAGCCTTGAGCAAAAGTGGCTCAGGGACAGTGCCCAGGCCCTGAGTTCAAGCTCCAGGACTGGCAACAAACAAAACAAAACCCACAACCCTGTGATGGTGATTTCTTCTTTGTGTGAGCAGTACTCGGGTTGAACTCAGGACTTCATGGCTTTTTGTCTAGCTGGTGCTCTACCACTTGAGCTGTATCTCCAATTTCAGCTTTTTGCTGGTTAATTAGAGATTAGAATCTTGATGTTTTTGTCTTCCCAGGCTGGCTTTGAAACTTGATCCTCAGATCTCAGCCTCTGATTAGTTACAATTTTCTGATTAGCTAGAATTATACTGTGAGCCACCAGTCCACCAATGCCCATCTGCATGTGTTTTCTTTTCCTTCCTTCCTTCCTTGGTTCCTTGGTTCCTTGGTTCCTTGGTTCCTTCCTTCCTTCCTTCCTTCCTTCCTTCCTTCCTTCCTCCCTTCCTTCCTTCCTTCCTTCTTCCTTTCCCTCCTTCCTCTTCTCTCTTCACTCCTTCTCTCTTTCTTTTATTCTCTCTCTGCTCCTGTTTGTATCTATTTCCAGTGGTTGCCCCATTCCTTTTCCCTATAATCATATATATTGTAAAGTGCTGACATTGTAAGATAATACAGAATTACAGTTAATTGCCATGTAGTAAATTATCAACTTTTAAAAACTAATTTTATTAGCAAATATTAAAAGTACAAGGGAGCTTCATTACAATAATGCCATATATACATGCAATATACTTTGAAAAAATCCACTTTCTATTTCCTTAATCCCCCATTTTACCTCAACCCTTTAATGTTTGGTGAGTTTCGTTATGATGTCATATCTCATTCTTTGATCCTCTTCACCCTCTAGTATTCTTCTTTTTATTTGTCTCCTTCCCTTTCCACTGTTTCCTCGGCAGTCTCCACTTACTCTCACTGTGAATTTCTTTATAGAGGTTCTTTAGAACGTCTACGATTCCACTGAGCACACAAACAGTTCACTTAACCCCCTCTTGCCCCTCTAGTATAGGATTGTTTTGGAGCTTGACATTTCTGTTCACCAGCTGGGAGAAGGTAGAATGGCAATGCCTCCAGGCTTGAGCCAGTGATGTAATGGTTCTATAGAAGGAGAAGCTTTAGCATCTGTTCAATTTTGTAGCCTCTGCTCCTCTTCTCTGTTTAAAAGAAAAAAAGATCACTCTATCAGTTTACTATTTTTTATATCTCCATGGAGTTTTGCTGAATTAAAATATAAATGGTCTTCTTGGACTGTAAAATCAGATACTTTTTGTGCTTACAGGAAATAGCAGAAATGTTTGAGAGAGTTGGAATGTGTGAACAAGCAGTGAATGCATTTCTGAAATGTAATCAACCAAAGTCAGCAGTGGATAGCTGTGTGCATCTCAACCAAGTAAGGGACTGAAACTCACCATATGGCTGTTGTTTTGGTGTTTCCAAACCTAAAACACGACTAAAGTCTTTCTGGGTGAAGTTTATGATAAATGTTATGTAAGTAGTTGAGTGACTAAATGGTATATTTTTTTTCCTAGTGGAACAAAGCTGTTGAATTGGCTAAAAGTCATAATATGAAAGAAATTGGGTCCTTATTGGCTAGGTATGCCTCTCATTTACTGGAAAAGAATAAAACTCTTGATGCCATAGAACTCTATCGGAAAGCCAGTTACTTTTTCGATGCTGCTAAACTAATGTTTAAGGTAATGTAACAATCTTGGTATTTGGCTTATTCTAGTTAGATTTTTTTTTTTTTGGTTTAGAATGTTTATTGCAGTCCTGAGGATTGAGCATGCTAGATAAGCTCTCTGTCACTGAGCTATACCTCTAGTCCCCTCAAAAATTTAAACATGGTACTGAATACATTTTCCTTATCTTGGAGACAAAATACTTGTTACAGCAAACCCATCTTTTTTTTTTTTTTTTTTTGGTCGGTTGTGGGGCTTGAACTCTGGGCTTGGGCGCTGTCTCTCCACTCTTCAGCTCAAGGTGAGTACTGTACCGCTTGAGCCACAGTACCACTTCCAGTTTTTCTAGTGGTTTATTGGAGACAAGAGTCTCACGGACTTCCCTGTCTGGGCGGGCTTTGAACCGTGATCCTCAGATCTCAGTCTCCTGAGTAGCTAGGATTACAGGCATGAGCCACCGGCCTGAGACTCATTTATTTTTTATTACCACTTTAATTATGTGTATTATTTATCACCTACTACTACCAAGGCTATTTGCTGACACCAGCAACTTCCCAATACCTAAACATTTTGTATTTGGTACTGAAGTTAACAATGAAGTGAAGAATTCACTGGGACTGTCAAGAACCCATTATCTTAACAAGAAATTAAATCCTATTGATGATAGAGTTATTTGCTTATTTATTTATTATTAAGTAGCTGTACAAAGGCGTTACAATTCCATAAGTCAGGTTATGAGTATAAATGCTTCTTGGTCAATGTTACCCCTTCTTTCATTTTCCCCAATGATAGTTTTAAGTCCTTATAAATGTACAAAATTTTAAACTTTATATGTTGCAAAATGTCTTATTTGGAATGAATATTAACTGGTAATCCATGTAGATTTTGCATTTCGTTTGGTTTAATAAAAAGTAGTAAACTTTCCCTCAAAACCATCTAAGTAAGTTTAAACTTCTGAAGGATGAGTTATGTTAATGCCACACTATCTTTGTGTATTTGGAACTTTATTTCTAAATCTGTGTGTTATGGAAAATATCACTTATTCCATCATCCCTTTCTTCACCTTGACTCAGTTACTAATATCAGATGCTATTTTATTTTTAAGATTGCCAACAGTTTTAACTCCAGGCCTAAAAACCAAGGAAAGAACTAACCTTCTGCAAGTAGTAAGGAAAAGAAAATGGCTTTAAAAACATTAGACCCAATAGTAGTGTTTATACACCATCCTAACTGAGCTTCCTCCTTTATTAGAGAATCAAATTTCAGCTGATTTTGGAAAAGATGGTAGTTTTACAACTGTCTTTCCCAATCTTGAACTGTTTCAAGGTTGCAGATGATGAGGCAAAGAAAAGGACTAAACCGCTGCGTGTTAAGAAGCTCTATGTACTATCAGCCTTACTCATAGAGCAGTACCATGAACAAATGAAAAATGCCCAACGGGGGAAAGTTCAAGGAAAGAATTCACAGGTGAGTCAGGCAGAGCATGAGGTGATTAAGACAGGGAGATGGAGTACACCTCCTTATGGACATGTCTATGTTTATTTCTTTACCACACACGGAAAAGGCATGGTGTAGTTAAGACATTTCTGTAGAAATATAGAATGGTTTTTCTGTAAGGCTAGTGTTAGTTTTATGTTATTTTTGATAAAATTTTTACTTGCTTAGTAAATCCCCCTTTCTGATCAGAGAATTAAAAATCTTCTTAGAGGGTCTGGGAAGGTGGCTCAGTGGTAGAGTGTTTGCCTTGCATGCATTGAAGCTCTGGGTTCAATTCCTCAGCACCACATAAGCAGAAAAAGCCAGAAGTGGCGCTGTGGTTCAAGTGGTAGAGCACTAGTCTTTAGCTGAAGTGCTGAGGGACAGTGCCCAGGCCCAGAGTTCAGGCCCCATGACTGACAAAACAAAAAACAAAACAAAAAAAAGCAAAAAAACAAAAAACCTTAGATTATGTGTTTTTGTTTTTGTTTTTTTGCCAGTCCTGGGACTTAAACTCTGGGCCTTGGTGCTGTCCCTGGGCTTCTTTTGTTCAAGGCTAGCACTCTACCACTTGAGCTGTTGTACAGTTTCCAGTTTTTTCTGTGATTAACTGAAGATATGAGTCTCAACGACCTTCCTACCTAGTGAATATGTGTATCTTTATACATATATTATGAATGAATCTCACTAAATTAAATGAACTCCATTTAATTATAAGTTGGATCAATTGTTTTAAAATTTGATCATACTGGCTTAAGAAAATATGAATTTTAATAGAAAAACCAAGTCTGTAATAAGAACATTATGATAAAATGCACTCAAATCTAGGCATGTTGATGTAGCACTAATTCAGATCTTGCTATCATTGTAAGTCCTTGCTGTGTGGGGCTGACTGTGTGTGTGTGTGTGTGTGTGTGTGTGTGTGTGTGTGTGTGCGCGCGCGTGCATGCGTGTGCACACATACACACATACTGACAACAAGTTGGCTTTTCTCCTAGGCCACTTCTGCTTTGGCAGGCTTGATGGAAGAGGAAGCCCAGTCCACAACCAGTCGTTTCACAGATAATGCATGGCGAGGGGCGGAGGCTTACCACTTCTTTATCCTTGCTCAGAGGCAGCTCTATGAGGGATATGTTGATACCGCCTTGAAGACAGGTGGGCTTGTCACCTAATGTGTGTTGTATGGAGGGCCTGCTTCCTCCATTTGTCTCAATTAATTTCAGTAACATTTTCCCCTATGGACTTATTTTCAACTATTTGAAGTTATAAATATATGCTTTGCTTATGAAAACAAGATAGCTAAGCAAACTATATAGTATAATTACAAACTATATGTAAACTATATATAATTACTTGTTATATAATTAAAACTATAAATAGTATACTTATGTAATCCCTTTTTGAAAGTTTTCTTTTCTCATACAAAGCAGTACAAATTCACAGATATTAAATATTTGAGAAATGAAAAAGGGTAGCATTTGTACTCTCTCCCCTTAGGTTAAATATTTAATAGTCCAGTTTCTGCTGTTTTGGAGATCTGAATTGTCCATGTTCAGGCTCATGACTATGTCTCTATCTATATAATAGTTTTATAAACTTTATAATATTGGGAAGTATAACAGAGTCTACTGTTACGTAAATTTTTTTTTTTGCTTCCACTTAAATTGCAGGTTTTATTTCTCCAATCCCAGCAATAGCACAGAAGCCTGATCATAGCCCTCCCCAATTGGTTTCTACTAGGCTAAGATTATGGGGACCTTTGTCAAAGCAAGTGATATAAAGGGCTCCCAAATTTCAGGTACAAATGTGCCTGTTGAGCAGATGGAAGTAAACAGCGCACTGGCCCCAATGCTTCATCAGTTTGACTTTGCATTGCAGTCTGCATTCTTGAAACCAACAGTCTGGAGTGGGAGTCATTCTGAGGGAGTTAAGTTGAAACTGCTTCCTATTAGCTCACCCTTTCAACATTAAACCAAGGGACCAAGAGAGAATGGTTCCAACATGTCATTACATGTATTTCTTCTTATTCAGTCTAAGCTGAGAATGCCATGTAAATGGGTCACTGTGAAATGCAGGAATTTAATTTTTCTCCAATCAAAATAGCAAACCAGTATGATCTCACTGCTATTAACTTTTGAAGGTTTACAGAAGTTAAAGTATTTTTGTTTCTATGTATGAAGGTTGAAAATCATTTTTTTCATAAATACAAGAGCAACCAATTTCACCATTGAGTAAAAGTAAAACTGGGATTTTTTTTTTTAATTAGTACAAAGTGAAACCTAGTTGTAGGTTGCTTTGCTGACACCATGACAAACCAAACTGTAGGATTGGGTCTGGTTTTGTTTCAGTTTTCTTTTCAGTATCCAATGCTCATGGATTAAGTTCTGGAAAGGTTCCAATTGTAAGGTAGGCATCTGTTTGGATTCCATCATGGGTATGCTCCTTGGGTTGGATGCTGGAGGGTGACGCACCTTTTGCCAGACCCATGTCCACTACCCTAGTAGTCATCATTCATTGTCTCCTCCTTGGTATTCCATTCCCTGGAAATCTACTCAGTACCGCAAAATACCTCCAATTCCACCAAATCCTTTCACAAACTGGGATCCTTTTTGTGATTTATCTGTGACAATTTCTAATGTAGCTACAATTTTTTTAATAGTTGTTAGACAACCATTCCAAGAGGGGCATGTTCTCAATCAGCTCATGTTCTGGTCCTGTCTCTTTGTCTGTGAAATGAGATTTATCCTTCTCTTGTTCTGGTGTTAAGTAGAGAATTTTCTCCTCTCTTATGTACTTTTATTATTATTATTTTTAAAATTGTTTCAATTTATTATGAAAATCTAAAGAAGACAGTCTAATGCAGAGTGATAGCATAATACTATATACAGGAGTATATTTTGGGCATGACAAAAAATGTTCTGGATCTTGCTATGTCATATGAAAAGGTGAGCAAATTTGTCAGCTGCACACTTAAGGTTGTTATATTTTATTGGATACATCTGTATATAATGCAACCTCTGTATAAATTATACCACACAAAAGTTGATTTTTGTAAAAATCAATTTTATTCAGGATGGATTTTCAAATTTCATTATTTGCCAGGCACCTAGCTACTCAGGAGGCTGAGATCTAGGATCACAGTTCAAAGCCAGCCTGGGCAGGAAAGTCCATGAGACCCTTATCTCCAGTTAACTACCAGAAAACCGGAAGTGGTGCTGTGGCTCAAGTGGTAGAGCGCTCACCTTGAGCTGAAGAGCTGAGGGACAGCGCCCAGGCCAGAGTTCAAGCCCTACAACCAACAAAAAAAAAAAAAAGAAAAAAAGAAAATTCTCCTTCCTCTGGCTAGAAATTTTAAGGCAAAGATCAATGAAACATGTGATGATGATTTTTATTTTCTTGTTTGATTCTTTTAGGATAATGCTTTCAATATTTTACCACTGAGGATATAATTTCAACAAGGACATAAGGTCTTATTCTTGCTTGAGGCAGGTTTTATGTACTTTAAAAAAGAATAATGGTGGGAGCTGGGAAGGTGGCTTAGTGGTAGAGAGCTTGCCTTACATGCATGAGGCCCTGGGTTCAATTCCTCAGCACCACATAAGAAAAAGAAAAAAAGCTGGAAGTGGCGCTGTGGCTCAAGTGGTAGAGCGCTAGCCTTGAGGTGAAGAGCTGAGGGACAGCGCCCAGGCCCAGAGTTCAGGCCCCACGACCAACAAAAAAAAAAAAAAAAGAAATGTACTCATTGGGCTGGGAAGGTGGCTCAGTGGTAGAGGGCTTGCCTTGCATGCCTGAGGCCCTGGGTTCGATTCCTCAGCACCACATAAGCAAAAAGAAAAAAGGGGGAAGTGGTGCTGTGGCTCAAGTGGTAGAGCACTAGCCTTGTGCTGAAGAGCTGAGGGACAGCGCCCAGGCCCAGAGTTCAGGCCCCATAACCGGACCCCCCCCCAAAAAAATAATGTGTTAAATTTTTTAATAAAGGATCTTGCCTTATAAATTTTGGCCAAAACAGAAAAATATGAAGAAAAAATAAAATAATCTAATAATTTGTATAAAATATTTTTACAGGATGTATTGTCTTTCTTCCTTGGCAAACATAAATCTGCATGAATTTTAAAGCTATATAATATTCCTTGGTGTTTATGTGTTATAATTTATAGATTATTTGCATATGATACTTATATCTAGATTTCTTCCGGATTGACAATATGATAGTTTAGATAATCACCTATAAAGAGCATAATTGTGAGCTATGTGAACAATGAATACATTACTGTTCTTTGAGCATGGCCATGACAGCCATGCAAGCCCCTTTATAGCCCACCCCACCTTCCGTCCATCACATTGGATGGCCACTATGCCTTCATCCATGGTGTCTCAGGTCATCACTAAGAGCACAGTACCTTCTATCCAGATAGGTTACTAGTCTATATGATAATGGATGTTTTTAAACAATCCATACACAGAGAAATTATGCTATTTGAATACTTATGTATTTCTGTAAGGGTAAATTTTTATTTTTTCTTATTGTATAAGAGCTCTTCAGAGATTATGTATAGCAACCCTCTCTCATATATGTTGATTCTCCCTAGCATTTGTAAGTCATTATCACAGAAATATCTAAATGAAATGGAGCAAAAGAATATGTCAAACGTTTTCTGTTTCTAATTCAGCATAGTTATGTGCATTATTTGGTGATTGCTATTTTCACAGGACCTGGAGATCATGTGTCCACTTCTTCCCATGCGTGCTCCTCCTCTTCATCTCTCACTGTTTTATTTCCTTAAGTTCCTTAGTTTCAACTAGAATACCTGAACAGAGTTCCTTTTCAGAGCATGTCCACTGATCTCCAATGTCAATTGCCTCCCTTTTCCCTAGCTCTTCACCTGAGAGACTATGAGGATATTATCCCTGCGGTGGAGATTTACTCACTGTTAGCGCTCTGTGCCTGTGCCTGTAGAGCTTTTGGCACCTGTTCGAAAGCTTTTATTAAACTTGAATCTTTAGACAGTCTCACTGCAGAACAGAAACAGCAGTATGAAGACCTTGCTCTAGAAATCTTTACCAAACATATTCCAAAAGATAACAGAAAATCTGAATTGAACAGCATTCTTGAAGGGTAAGCTAATTATCATTAATAGCTGAATTTACTTCAGTAGAAGCTTAGATTTCTTTATGTAAATATGTACTATAACTAAAGCACTAACATTTGCACTAATTTTCTTAATATTATAGTGTTTTATTTAATCTTTCAAATGAATTGATTTTTTATTACAAGAATAATTTTTGGTAAAAAACTTTTTGGAATAAAAATGTTTTACTTGAGGTTTACTTTGAATTTTTTCTTGGTTATAAGTATATTAAATAAGGGTAAGATAAATTGGAAATATTAGAATATAATTAATTACTTTTCCCTTTGATTTCATAGTGGCGAAGGTAAACTCCCAACATGCATTGCCACAGGAAGCCCAATCATTGAATATCAGTTCTGGATGTGTAAAGTCTGCAAACACTACGTTCTTGCTCAGGAAATAACTAACTACAGCTTCTGTCCCTTATGCCATAGTCCAGTGGATTAAAGATGAACTATATGTAATTACAAAATATATGTTGCTTTACCTGTGTCTCTAATAATGTTGATTTCCATGAGTTTTATATGAAAATCAGTGCCATCATTTTACACAAAATACATTTTGTGTATTTTTATACAGAATATAAAGATAAGAACAACTTTTGCACAAAAATACAACTGTGCAATGGATGTGAACTTTATTTGATCTATCAGTTAATTATTTATGTACATTGGCTACCATGGAAATATTACAAATAAAAATTTTTATTACGATGTCAAGGAAGTAAGTGAGGGTGGAGGAGGCATGGGAGTGGGACTTTGAATTTAGAGAGAATGAAGCAACCAGCATGTGAAGTGAGCTCCATTTTATCTATACTTTAAGAATTGGTTTTCCTATGTGTTATTTTCAGAAGTGAGAAAGCTTGGGCTCTGCTTATGAAATAAGTTTCTATAGAAAGAACCATTTTATTACAGTGCTGCTTGAAACATTGTAACAGAATGCATCCTTCATTAATAAAGTGTCTTGCTCTGTGTGTGTGATTCTTTCTTGATGGATACCTATTTTGATTTATTACTAATTTAGAAGAGGAAAAATACATTCAATAATGGATAGTTTCTTACCTCTTTATATAGCTAATGTTTTCTGTGAACTCACATGCTCCCATTTGTGGCAAAAGACTTAAGACTTTAAAGGTATGCTTAAATTTGGCTGATACTCAATGAGGCGATAAAAGTATGGTACACTGCTATTGTAATTTATAATACTTAGGTTAATTCACTTCCCTCTGTGTCATATTTAATAATTTTTTATATATTTTATATATATATAATTTTATATAATGCCTGTTGCAGAGTGAGAATAATGAGCTAGAAGAGGCTTAGAGCCTAGGGGCATTTAGGAGTTTATGTGCTTGAATGAAAGAAAACTGGTCTCTGAAGTCTGTGCACATGTCTGGTGGGAAATGACAGGGCTACAATGGTTCCAAATACATTGCCAAGCAAGCTGTCTGCGGCAGAAAGGCCTACAAATCAAGCAAGGATGTGTGTGCATTTTTTTTTGTCGGTCATTGGGCTTGAACTCTGGGCCTGGGCGCTGTCCCTGCGCTCTTCAGCTCAAGGCCAGCGCTCTACCACTTGAACTACTACGACAGTTCCGGTTTTCTGAGTGCTTTATTGGAGATAGAGTCTCACGGATTTTGCTGCCTGGGCTGGCTTTGAACCTTGATCCTCAGATCTCAGCCTCCTGAGTAGCTAGGATTACAGGGGAGAGCTACTGATGCTTAAAAATTTTTTTATAGCCTTTAAGTGATCTAATTTCTATTGGTGTGTATATGTGTGTGTATGTATGAATGCATTACACTTCGGTGGCAGTAAGCTTTCCTTTGTGAAATGAGAAGGAACAACACGTAACTCAAGCCTTATGGAAAGGTCCTCATGGAAATATTCTGAGTCAGTTTTCTTTTGTCTTTTTTGCTGAGGGCAATGCGCTGACACCGTTGGGGAGTCAACAGAACTGGGGGCCGCGAGAAGAACGGCTACAGAGCCGTGGTGACCTAGTTACAACACACTCCGTAGGTCACTGGGTGGCTTCCGGTCGTCCACGAGGCCGGAAGCGGGTACTCGGCGCAGTAGTCTTGAAACCTGAGGCCCGGGCGCGGCCCTGGGGTCGTGGTCCTCTGGTGACGCGGAAGCAGGTTGGGGTACCGGAAGGACTGCGCCGTGACCGAGCCAGCTCCTCGCACCGCGGGTACGGAAGCCACTTCGAACCTTCGACCCCCGGCCGCTCCGGCTCTTCCGGGAAGCCACGCGGAAGGAGGAGGGAAGGAGGGAAGCACGGACCGCTTCGTGTCTCGCGAGAACACGGGTGCCTTCCGTGAGTGCAGAGGGCTCCTAATCCCGGAGTGCGGAAGTGGGCCTGTGGCGCCTCCCTCACTCGCCCCAAAGCCAATTCCCCTCCCATACTGCGAGTCCGGCGCTCGACCGCGATGGCTGGCCGGCCGCAGCATGAAGCCCAAACTGCCCTCGCCCTAGCCCAGGCCCACTTCGACAAGGGCGAGTTCGCCGAGGCCGAAGCGCTGTACTCGGCCTACATCCTCCAGTGCGCGCGCGCGGCCCCGGCGGCCGGCGAGTGTGGCGGGAGGTAACTATCGCGAGACAGTGGTTCCGCGGGCCGGGCCGGGCCTGGCGGGGCGGGGCCGAGCGGGCGGGGCGGGGCCGGGCCTGGCGGGGCGGGGCCGGGCCTGGCGGGGCGGGGCCGGGCCTGGCGGGGCGGGGCCGGGCCTGGCGGGGCGGGGCCGGGCCTGGCGGGGCGGGGCCGGGCCTGGCGGGGCGGGGCCGGGCCTGGCGGGGCGGGGCCGAGCGGGCGGGGCGGGGCCGAGCGGGCGGGGCGGGGCGGGGCGGGGCCGAGCGGGCGGGGCGGGGCCGAGCCTGGCGGGGCGGGGCCGAGCGGGCGGGGCGGGGCGGGGCGGGGCCGAGCGGGCGGGGCGGGGCCGAGCGGGCGGGGCGGGGCGGGGCCGAGCGGGCGGGGCGGGGCGGGGCGGGGCGGGGCCGGGCCGGGCCGAGCCGGGCCGAGCCGAGCCGGGCCGAGCCGGGCCGGGCCGGGCCGGGCGGGGCGGGGCCGGGCCGGGCGGGGCGGGGCCGAGCGGGCGGGGCGGGGACGAGCGGGCGGGGCGGGGCGGGGTCGAGCCGGCCGGGGCGGGGCGGGGCGGGGCCGAGCGGGCGGGGCGGGGCCGAGCGGGCGGGGCGGGGCGGGGCGGGGCCCGGGCCGAGCGGGCGGGGCGGGGCGGGGCGGGGCGGGGCCCGGGCCGAGCCGGGCCGGGCCGGGCCGGGCGGGGCGGGGCCGGGCCGGGCGGGGCGGGGCCGAGCCTGGCGGGGCGGGGCCGAGCCGGCCGGGGCGGGGCGGGGCCGAGCGGGCGGGGCGGGGCGGGGCGGGGCGGGGCGGGGCCCGGCCGGGCCGGGCCGGGCCGAGCCGAGCCGAGCCGAGCTACCGGAGGTCTGCGGTGCTGGCTTTCTCAGGCTTAGGGACCATATGTGGAGCCCAAGGGCCTGGGATAAAAGAGGAAAAAAGAAAAGGAATGCTCTAGTGTAGCGGTGCCCTGGGAACGCGCGTCCGGCAGGCAGAAAGGGACCATACCATGTGGGTATAGACAGTTTATTGAAACATCATACGCCTTGTACAGCAAGGGGGCCTAGCGATAAGTCCGTGGTCACGGACAGTCACAGGACAATCACAGGACAGAAAGTTTTCGGGGACTGCAGACAGTAAAAGCTAACCTTTAATCAACCTTTGTTGTCAACAAAGGTGGAGCAGTTCCCTGTGAGCAAAGATAATAAAGAGAAAGCAAGGTGCAGCTGGGCTCCATTAAGGACTCTCGAGGCGCCGTTCTACGGAACTGTTTGGAGGAGCACGGAGGGCACTTTCCCCATGTCCTCCACCGAGGTCGTGGCCGGGCATCCAGCCCTTGGTCCCGATAGGGAAGGGCTTCCTCCTTCCAGGCTGGAGGCTGCAGCTGCGTGGCCCGGCCTTGGCCAGGGTTATGGAGGAGCGTTCTCGTTGTCCAGCGAACATAAACCTCACACAGCACACGGATCCTCAGGCGGGGTCACGCGAGCCTGTGTCTCCCACACTCCAGGACAGTGCTTTCCAAATTACAACCACTGAGTTATAAAATCACCTTACTCGATGGGGACCAGCATTTTTAATAGAAAGGAATGGAGCAGGATAGAAAACATGAAAAGCAAAATCTTCATTCGTTTGGAGAGTGAGGAACTGATGAGTCAAAGCAGTAAAAGGAGTGGCAACCCACCGCCCAAGAACCATCCCGCAAAGTCGCATAGATTGTAATTCAGTTCAGGACATGGGGGCACTCGGGACCGCGCGCCACCGCCATGACACCTCTCAGAGCCTGGCTCCACCTCGCCCGGCTCCCAAGAACGCAGTGCCTTTAGGGGTGGTGGGCACTGGCGCAGCCCCGCAAGAATAATGGCGGAGGCTTTCACGGGCTGGGGGACAGCTTGCCAGCATTCTAGGCCTCGGAGCCCGCCCATCGGGGCCTGAGGTGACCTCCCTCCCCACTGGGGGAGACCTCACCCCGCGACAAGGACACTCGAAGGCCCTAATGGTCCTGGCAGGTGTGCCGGCCGGCGGAGAAACCGTAGAATGGCGAGCGCTGGTGCCCACCGGAAGCCCCGAGGATCTGCTTGTAGGCCTGTGCGTATCGTCCGAAAAAGCTGCTCCCAACTTCCCCAACCTTTTAAAAGACGCCGTTAGTCCAGCTGGGCATTCCAGAAGAGTTGCCAACGTAGGATAAAGCCGAGATAGAAAGTCATGCTTCTCAATTCCCTTTTGTTTGTGAAAACCACAGAAATGTCTTCTGGAAGTGACTTGAATGGCGATTAGAATGGTGATGTTAGGCCACCTCCAGACGAGACCTCCAGAGCGACACTCCGCGTTTGTCCCGCGAATGGAGGACGTGGAACAAGACCCGTGGGAGGAAAGAAAAGGGGACCGGTGAAGGCGGTTTCCAGGGACAGCCATTGATCTGTATGCATCTTTGGCTCTTTTTGTTTTGGAGAGGTCTGGGAAGACGGGCCAGTGACAGGCCTGAGGCGGTGCTACTTCAACCACAGCAAGGGCTTTGGCCACTTGCCCCCTCCCTTTTTTTTTTGCTTAAGGCTGGTGCTTTACCACTTGAGTCACAGCCCCACTTCTGGCATTTTGCTGGTTAATTGGAGATAAGAGTATTATGAACTTTTCTGCCCTGGCTGGCTTCGAACCACCACCCTTGGATCACAGCCCCTGGAGTAGGATTATAAATGTGAGCCTCCAGGGCCTGGCCTTCATCTCGTTTGTGTTTTTTTTTTTTAAATTAAAAAATTGTTGCAAAGAGCATTTTAAGTATGCCGAAAATAGTATAAGACTTTAGGTATTCATCACTTGGCTTAATTATGGTTCACCTACCCAGACCTCAGATTCCTGTAGGGATGCTTCAGAATGCTTTCTTAGAAGTCAAGAATTCTTTAAAAGGCCTGACCACAGTATCATTAGTGTCACAGAGTTGTTTAACATCAAATATCCAGACCCTGTTAGAACTTTTCTGATGGGCCAATAAAAGTGCTTTGTTGTCATTCGGTCAGTTGATTGACCAATAAAAGTGCTTTGTTATCTGTTCAGTTGATTTTTTGGATTACATTCTCTTCGGTTTCTGGGTTTTTTGGTTGATCATGAGGCTTGAACTCAGGGCCTGGGTATTGTACCTGAACTATTTTTACTAAAAGTTGGTTTTCTATCACTTTGAGCCACAGTTCCACTTATCTGCTCAGTTGATTTTTTTAGCAGTTGATTCAACTCAGGATGCACATCTGGTCCCTATTTAGAGTCAAATCCCCGCCCCCCCCATGTCCCTTGTAACTTATAGTTAACAGATTCCCATGTCTTAGAGTTGCCATATTTAGGATTTAACAAATGTGTCTTTTGAGTGTCATCTGCCTACTGTATTGCTCGTAAATTAAATTTTGATCCAATTTAGAGTCAACATTATGGCAAGACTACAGGTGGCCACCCAGTATGTCATATCAGTTGTTTCCTTTTTTACAGTATTTGTAGCCTCTCCTGATAATACTGCTTGTCCAAAGCATCTTTGTATTTTATGCATAGATGTGTAGCATTTCTTGTTACTTCTCATTTTCACGCTGATGGTGTGGAGTGGAGCACAGTGAGAAAAGAAAGGGCCTAGAGAAGTTGGTTCCCTGATTTTTGACAGGAAGGTTTTTATTTTGTGTGGGGACTGGGACTTAGGACCTCACGCTCTTGCTCAGAGCTGGCACTGCACCACCTTGAGATACTCTTCCAGCTAAAATATTTTTATTTATTTATTTATTTATTTATTTTTGGTGGTCAGTTGTGGGCTTGAACTCAGGGCCTGGGCCCTGTCCCCAAGATTTTTATTGATAATATAAGCTTATTTTTGTATGAGGTTTAACTAACTACTGAAGTCTGGATTCTTACCCTGTTAGACTCATGTGGAATTTGAAACATTAAATTGCTTTCTTAATTCAATGATACATCAGAATGATAGTTAATCAAAGGTCTGGACAGGAGCTAGGATGGTGCCATCATCCCTTTCTCCTTGCCTCCCTCCAAAGAAAATTAATAACTAGAGGAAACTTGGTTTTCTATCCTATTTCAAGTTCTAAGAATAGACTTACCTTGTGAGTTTAAAAATTTACTCAAAAGCAGCCTAAGAGCTCAACATTCCATAGCAATTTCTGCCCTTTATAGGAGAGAAAGTCTGCCATGGCTTAGTGGAGCTCACTGAGGCTGCACCCTTGCTTTCTCTGCCACAGTGCAGGGGACTTTTCTCAGCCTTGGTTTCTCATCTGTAGAATGAGTCATCAGTTTCCTTCAGTTCTTGGAACTCATGGATTGAACTGAATCCTATCAATTTATTTTTCCCCCTAAATCATTTTTTGAACGATTCTCCTGAATAATTTCAAAACAAGGCAATACTTGCAATCATTGAATGGCTCTTACTCTGGACAGTTTATCATATTTTCTTTTTAATATCCAAAGGTGCGATTTTAGCTGTAATCTAATTTTCACATATTTTGTCTTGGCCAAAGCTAATAAATACTAAAAATTCACATTTGGGTTAGGTAACCTGGTTAAACTCCAGTACAAGAAATACTGTGTTTACAGAAATCTTAATATTCCAAAAATAACTAGCCTTAACTGTCAGCTTATTTCCAAAAAAAAAAAAAATTGTGGAGAAACAAAATTACTGCATGAAATGTAGGCTTTTAAGAGTTTGTTGGAATGAGACCTAATTTTGAATATAACGTTCTATCATCCTCTGAGAATATAAAAATTTATAGCAAAGCCTCCAAGGCTCAAATATAGTGACTAAAATTTTATTGAAGTCCCCAAGCTACATTTTTCTTCAGACTATACTGGGCACAGTTCAGTGATGTCCTAGTAGAGAGATGACAGGCGTGCGCCCTCTTCTGGTGGCATCCAGAAGTATCCTGGAAGCTGACAGGACAGAACATTCATTCCTAAATTGGAGCAGTTCCTCTGAGCAAATTTAGATGATTACTTCTGCAGGCAGCAGTAGTCACAGTCCTTGTCTAAGCTCTCAAGAATCCGGATGTTAAGGGAAGTAGTCACCTATTTTCCAAGAAATCTACTTTTACTATGGAGTCCAACAAAGAAAAGAGATAAACGATGCAACTTCTCTGGTTTAGGTGTGAGAATCTCACTGCAATTGAAGAAAGGAACAGCATGTTCCCCGACTCAGAGTCGAGTTCTCCCTGTAGGAGAGTTGCCTCATACCAGGATGCCTTGGGGCAGTAAAGGGGAAGAGGGCTGTGACTGCTCACTTTCAGAACTTGGCAGCCTCCAGAACTGGTACTGTTGGGACCTCAGAAGTGGGCTGGAGCCCAGTCTCCTCGCAGGAAGCCAACCTGGTCTTGGCTGGGGATAAAGGAGAGTTCCAGCCAGGGCTGGAAGGAGGGCACCTCTGGGCCAGAGATCATGCCTTAATCACCAATGTGTTGGCTGAATTTTCACCTGTGGTTAAGTTGCATTGATTTATCAGAAAATGACATCAATTCTCATTGTTTTAAGGTCACTTCACAATTTGAGAGTCAAATTGATACTTCACCTTTTGACACCTGCTTAGCACACTTGAACTCTTGGTTGCCTTTCCTTCCTTCTCAGAAGCATCTGATCTATCTTCTCTGCCCTGCTGCTGTGTGCTTAGACTACGTTAGTATTGTCTTCAGCAAACCATGCTGGTAGTGAACAGGGGCTTTGAACACGGAAACTCATGCTTTTCATACTAACACTGTACTGTAACTCCACAAAAGAAGATAACAAGGTTAAACACAAATTCATTTCAGTTCCCTATTTATCTGCTCATTTTTTTTCCAGCTTGGTTTTTCACAGCATATTATAAGCTATGAAGTTTGACAGTGCCCAGAAGAGAATGAAAGTGGAAATGAGAGGAATTTGGTAATGCAGTGTTTTTAATGTGAACTTTTATGTTTAAAGCAAATGCAGCCCTGAGGATTTGGCTACTGCGTATAACAACAGGGGGCAAATCAAGTACTTCAGGGTTGATTTTTATGAAGCCATGGATGACTACACAGCTGCCATAGGAGTCCAACCCAATTTTGAAGTTCCGTATTACAACAGAGGGTTGATACTCTATCGGCTGGGTAAGAAGTTTTTTTCTGGATTTAATGTTTTGCCCCCCTTCCTACCAACTATTCTGTTTTTTTTTTTTTCTTCAAAACTATCAACAGCTGTAAAAACAAATGTGGTAATCACCAGCATTTAAAGTTATGTGAAATTTAGGTTTAGAGCTTAGAACAAAGGAAGCATACCTGAGCGTATTTTAGGGCTTTTGTCAGGCATTATAGATCACAGCAGAGCGCTGGGGTGGGAATTGGACCTGGGCACAGGAGTGGGGGTGACCCTATTACTTGTGTCTGTGTGTTTCCAACTGCAGAATGAGGATAATGCTGACAGGAACCTGTGACACTTTTCCGAGCAAACGTCTTTGGAGACACAGGAGACAATAGCGAGTGAAGTTTTGTATCACTGGATTAAAAGAGACTGTGGATGCTATTCCTTATTAAAATGAAAATAAAATCCAGCTATTTCTCAATTGTACTAAAACTGTGTAAAACAAGTGATACATTTTTGTTAAAATTTTATGATGCTACTCTATTAAATTGTATAAAGAAATCCATAGCTAATTTTATTTTCTTAATTTTTTTTGGCTGTGCTGGGGATGAAACCCAGAGTCCTACCTATGCTGTACAGTTGCTTTGCCACATCCTGGTCTTCCACTAAACTTAGATATAGTTGTTCTGAAGCACAGAGGAAATTACCTCGATGTGCACATCTCTGTATCATCATTGAAAGGAGAAAGCTTCCTTTGATAGAAGTGGTTGAAAATCTAAAAGTATGAGTATTTAAACATTGTTGTGAGTAATAAATAGGATACTCAGGGTTTTTTTTTTTCTTCTTTTTTTTTTTCCCTGGTTCTGGCACAGGATATTTCGATGATGCTTTGGAAGATTTTAAGAAGGTATTAGACTTAAATCCTGGATTTCAAGATGCTGCTTTGAGCTTAAAACAGACTATCTTAGATAAAGAAGACAAACAAAGAAGAAATATGGAACATAATTATTAAAAATTTTAACTTAATTGAGATGTTAACTCATGGTCCAATATATACAGATGATTGGCTCAAATTTAAAGTAAGTATTGAGCTATTTTGATTTATATTTAAGATAAAAGAATCCACAAACTAGAATTAAGGTTAAATAATATATTTAAGGTTGCTAATTTCAGGTTGAGAAATTATGTCAGATAGGTCTGCTTTTTATAAAGTATAAATAAATCATTAATGTATAAATATTTGCGGGGGGAGGATGGGAAGGGGAAACAAAGGAGGAGGCTACAATGCTTGATAAGAAATGTACTCATTATCTTGCCCATGTAATTGTAACCCCTCTGTACAGTATTTTCACAATAAAAAAGTATAAATATATGTTATTACAGTAAAATACTTTAAGCAATGTGTGATATTTTCTTCATTAAAACTTTTCATTTTTCTTTTTATTTCCAGCTTAAATTTTTTTTCATCTAAAGTTTAAAGTAATACAATCAATACCTATAAATTCTTCATCAGTTAGCATTATGACACATTCGCTTTTTATTTGTATTTAAACCTGAAACATTGTTGAATCATTTGAGAATAAAATACAGATATTACAATACTTCCCCCCTAAGTATTTCAGCTCACATCTTTCAAAAATAGATACCTTTCTTTTAAAAAAAACATTTTCTTGTAAAGATGCTATACAGATAGGTTACAGTTACATGAGCAAGGTAATGAGTACACTTTTTTTTTTCTTGTTCTTGTGACTTCTTTTTCTTTGTATGTTTTTTCTTTTGTATGTTTTATGCTGCACAGAGGGGTTACAGTTACATGAGCAAGGTAATGAGTACATTTCCTATTGAGCATTGTTGCCTATGAGTACATTTCTTGTCGGGCATTGTTACGCCCTCCTTAGACACCTTCCTTTGTAGCCACAATACCATTAAAACTTTAAATAAAATTAGCAACTCTATAATATTTTCCATATCCAGTCCATATTCAAATTTTCCAATTATTTCCAGAATGTGTAGGTTTTACTTTCTGAGTTTGTATAGAAAGCCAGGTTTTGTTGAGTTATGTTGTTGTGACATTTACTCACAGTACTTCCTTTGAGAGTTTCATGTAGTTGGGTTAAAGACACAGTACTCAGACTTAAGAATAAACACGTTGGGGCTGGGAAGGTGGCTCAGTGGTAGAGTGCTTACCTTGCATTCATGAGGCCCTGGGTTCGATTCCCCAGCACCATATAAGCAAAAAGAAAAAAAGCCGGAAGTGGTGCTGTGGCTCAAGTGCTAGCCTTGAGCTGAAGAGCTGAGGGACAGTACCCAGGCCGAGAGTTCAGGCCCCACGACCAGACACAACAAAAAGAAAAAAAAAAAAAAAGAATAAACACATGTCCTATAGGAGAAGAGTTTGAAAGAAAGAATTTAACCCACAGTTGATTTTCTTTAGAAAGAATTGATACAATAAGTTAAGATTTAAATATTGATCATAGTTTTCTATCTCTGGGTATTGATAGTAATTATTGCCACAGTCAGCGATTCCTAGCTATTTACTGTAAGCCCAGCACTGTTTAGATGCTTTATAATGGGGGCGGAATGGACAAAAACATATAAATGGGAAACTTAAACTTTGTATTATTTGGTTGCTGCCAGCAAATGATGGAGTTTGAGAGTTTTAAGAACTGGGAAGAACATGGAGAGAAAGCAGGCCAAAGCCAGCATGTCCCATCTACGGTTTAAAATTTTTATAGTTGTGGTTTGGCTTTCAAAGTTACAGACCCTCATCTTGAGCTCTTCCAAGCTAGTTTATGACTGCCTTGGGAAGGCTATTGTGGGGTAGAAAGTACACCCTTTGGGGGAGAGGAAAAACCGTGCTTGCCTGGTATCTCCAGAGGAGGTACCCAGGCCTCAGCTGCAGTCACCATTATGCTCAGCTGGTCCTTTGAGTAAAAGTGGTCTCTGGAAGTAAATAAAGCCTGTGACCCGCTTGTAGTTCACATATCACACCTGAAAAACCAGCCAGAATGTGAGCTTGTTGTAGGTAAAGAAGTATAAAGAGGAAACTAAGTTCAGTGGTTAGAAACCCAAAGTCCCTTATGTTTCTAGAATAATCTACATTTTTCAATATGATTTATCTGTTTGTTGGATATATCTTTGAAAAAGGATTTATAAAGTTGTATGGAATCAAAAATTCCCTCCCTTTTTTTTTTTTGGTCGGTTGTAGGGCCTAAACTCGGCCTGGGCACTGTCCCTCAGCTCTTCAGCTCAAGGCTAGTGTTTTAACACTTGAGCCACAGCGCCACTTGCAGTTTTTTCTGCTTATATGGTACTGAGGAATCGAACCCAGGGTCTCATGCATGCAAGGCAAGCACTCTACCACTGAGTACCTTCCCAACCCACAAAAATCCCTTTTAATAAAGCTTTTTTTTTTTTGTTAAAGCAATGTCTTTAGATCTTTGGGGAACTTAAAACTCATTCTGTTCAGAGAATTAACTACTTAAATAATATTTAAACAACTTTATTTTCTTTTGACTCATCATCTTTTAACTGTGGCTGGCATCAGATATAATATGAAAATAAAACTTGTTGAAATTTTTTATTTGACTTACTGGTTTTGTTATTCAAAATGTTTTCATTCCTCAGGAAAAAAAATTGCCAACATATGTTGATGAGGGGGTTGCCCAGGCATTAATTTTGCTCTTGTTACTAGAGATAGCTAAGGAATAGTGCATTTGCTCCATTTATCTTCTTCAAGCATTACACATTCAGATTCGAAGTTTCTTGGCTAAACAATACCCTTGATATTTGCCTTCAAGATATTCTTTTATGTTCATTATTGTTCATATTGTTCATATTGTTCATATTGCCTGCATTTCAGTTTTTGTTGTTTTCTTTTTTACTACGAAACTACCCAAACGGTATTGTCTTCGCATTTTATTTTCCTCTGTAAAAACAAAACAGAAAAGAGTTTTAATTTGTAACAAGAGTTGTCTCGTACCAAGTACAGTAAAATTGAATGAATGGACTGAAGTTACTTTTTGAGTTTAGAAAGTTATTCTAAACTCAGAAGCGTAGGGCTGTTTGTCTTGTTTTGAAACCCTACAACTGAATGAGGCCCACAGACTGAGCTTGTGGTAGCAAACTACAGTACAGTTGGTAGAAAAGCAAACTCAATTTACAAGTTACAGTCATTATCTAATAGCTCCTCTCTGTATATTTCCTGGTTTTCTGGCTGTCTCTGGCACCTGTACTCGAAGCAGCGTTAGCCTTCTGCCATTTTACAGGTCATGGATCTTTCTCCATGGCATCATGTATCTTACCCTGCCACTTAGTAGATGTCATTTACCATTTACAGCGACTGTTCTCAGTGTCTCCATCTTTGCTCAGTCTAATCTCCTTAACAATTAAGATTTTAAACAAATCTGCCTTTAAGTCAAGATTTTAAACAAATCTGCCTTTTATTTAATGACTTCAGTTTGTCTCTGAAAAATGCTTCTAAGTGAATAACCAATAATGGAAAAAAATCTTTCTGATAATTTTAATCAGATAATGTCAAGAATTCCATTTCATCTCACAATCCCCACAGATAGATACTCTCAGAGAAAAGTCAATTTAGCCATGAAAACAAGTGTCTCTAATGACCATTTGAAAGCAAGTCTGGGAAATGGAGGTGTGGTTCAAGTGGTCCTTGAGCAAAAAAGCCAAGCAGACGTGCGAGGCCCTGAGTTCAAGCCCCATTACTGGCAACAGCAACAAAATAAATAAGTGAAGGAAGCAGTCAGCTGTTACAGTATGAATGGGTACAGTATGAGTGGATTAAAAGAACAGATTTATTGAGATATGATTCATTCATTTGAAGTATATAGTTAAATGCTTTAACACAATTTTACAAAATTCATTTAGCATGCTTTGGAGCCTTATAGTCATCTTGCATGCAAAGAGTAGTTTAAAAAAATCAAACCCAGAAAAGCACCTTGGGTCATCTTAAAGACTACAAGCATGTTACTCGCACATGCAAAGAAACATTGAAGATGCCACCTCTTCTGGCTTTGTCCAACTCTGCAGTCTTGTTATGATAGTCTCTGGCTAGAACCATGTGCTGAGGAAAGGTGAGGATGTGTCTGTGTGTAAGTATGGTGTGGATTTGTTGGGGGTGTATGGGCGAACAGAACGTGCTGCAGAAACCTTGACACATGACGTGACTTCTCTAGCCTGGTAAGAAGCAGACCGAACAGTTACTATTGCGAGCTAAGTGTGTAATTTTGTCTATACAAATTAAGATTTTAGCACTTTCTGTATTTCTGATAGTAAATTAGGGGAATGGGATTCCAGTTAAAGATGGCATTTGGCTAGAGAGACAGAGGTAGATGGGGAGGGGGAGTGTTTTGCTATAATTCCAAGACTTGACAGAAAGAAAAGGATTGTAAATACAATTTAATTTTTTTTGTCTTTTGGAAGAGCAAAGTAGCTAGTAAAGAATCAGTTCATGCTTTTAAGAATTGTAACAAGGTAAAAACACAAACCTAGGAAGCAAAAAACAAATAAGTTAAAAAAATCCTAAAAGGAGGTTAAAAAAAAAACTAATTAGAAATTATGGCCTGGAAGTATTGGTATAACAGTAAAATCAGAGTACAGTTGTATTTCCCCAGGCTTGTTTGCCAGCACATAATCATGCATACAGCAATGATATAAAGATGGACTTTAACATTTTTTTTTTCACAGAAGTTGAGGCTGAGAAATTCAGTAACATGCCCAAAATTAGGTCCAAAATCCATGTATTTGAAACTGCACTTAGCATCAATTGATTTTTTGTTGCTGCTGCTGGCCTGGCATTAGCTCAAAGCAGATCTGTAGACCAGTTTTTTCCATCCTGATTACAAAAATGTTAGTGGCTCGCACAAGTTGCTCATAAATATTTTAGTACCTATCAAGGTGAGTATGAAAACAATGTTAGAATTTATTTCATTTTTTATAATGGAACATGATTTCAATTCTAGAAATGCTTGTTGTTCATTTCTTCCTTCCTGATTGAAAACAGATAGGAAAGATGGTGAAAAGAAGATTAATAGTAAGGACAAACTCTTACTTGGAAACTTGAAAGCCATGGCTGCCAATATGTAAATTTGTATCTTAAGTGAAGCATCCAACCAAGATAGCATGATCCTTCAAAATCATAGTGAGCAGAGTCTAACCCAAGCACCATTAATTCTACTCTTGCTTGGGGTCCAGACTTGTGGGTTTTGCCTGGAGGGCATGCTGCAAATGAATTCTGTTTGGCAGAAAAGAAAACCCAAAGG